TTTTCTTCGTTTTTTTTCCCGAAAAACTCATAATATGTGCATCTCTCGAAGAAATACGTTATAATCAATTTGAAAAGCATTAAATTTTCTATGTACTTCATGTAGACACGTTGATATATAAAGGGCTGTTAAAGCCCATGGAATCGAAGGAGTAATTCACTCGTAGTATCTGCCACTCTTCACTCAAGAAATTTTACCTTTTTAATGCTTTTAATTCGGTTAATTTAACTATATTTATAACAGGATTATTTAAATATAGTTAAATTAGCTGAATCAAACTCATTGACCACATAAAGAACACAAAGTTAAGAGCGGCAGATACTGCAAGTGAAATACACCTTCGATCCCATGGGCTTCAACAACCATCCTCTCACATATTAATGGGTCTACATGAAGTATATAGGAAATTTAATGATCTTTCAAACTGATTATAATGTATTTCTTCTAGAGATACATAGCTTATGAGTTTTGGAAGAAAACCCTATGAAAACAGATATTTCTTGTGAAATAAATTCCTCTCTCTTTGGGTCTTCATCAAAAAGCTACGTATTCATATACTTTTTTTTTGTTCAGATGAGGTTTATCTAAAATTAAAAATTGTTACTAGCTTTAAAAATGGTCGGTAGCTCCTAGTCTATAATGAGTCTTTAACAAAAATTGATGAATGAGCAGTCTCGTTCCGAACGTTAATCGGGACAATCTATGGGTTGACGATGCTAATAATCCTAAATTCAGAAAAGGATATCTCCCATCCAGCACCTCTTCAGTCTTCTCTTGATAGGCACGTCGTTCATTTGAATTCCATTTAATGATGTCCTTGAGATGTCGTTTAAGATGAGTAGAGGAATGTGTTGGTCGATATTTGCTTGTCGTAAGACGGTATGTAAAGTTTTATTATTTACGTACCAGGGAGCTGCTGTTATTAATTAGTCTTAAAAATTTAGATTGAAACTATTGTAGTTCTTGGAAGTGCGTCTGAAAACTGCGATTCGAAAATTGTCACGATCGCAATACTTCCCTTTTCTATAATATAATTTCATATATAGGTAAATTAAAGTAAAAATTTATAGGTGCATGTGTGTGTGTGAGAGAGAGATTATTTATGTATACATAATTCAAATCTATAGAAATATACGCATAGTGATTTTTAAACAAAGGAAGGAGTGTCAATGCTAAAAGGAGTTAAAAAGTGAATAACAAGGACAGTCTAACACAGTAGGGCTTTGAAGCAGTTGCCACTTTATTGAGAGCCGAAGGGAGAACTCCCAAGGGACAGGCCCGACCAAGTAATCCCTTAAAAGTATAGCGCAGATCCCCAACCAGCGCCCTAGACCAATATTTCTAATCCGACGCTGGGCCATACATTTTCTTCTGAAAGTTATCTTTTACTACTTCATTTTTATAAAAAAAAAAAACATTCCCCTAAAAACACACAATTCAAGATAAACACATCATTTTTTTCTGATTAAGAAACACAGTTATAATTGAACCACAAATGAATATTTGTTGGAACCGAGCCCATGCGCCACCAAGTTATAACTAACTTCAACTCCTAATCAATTCCAAACTACTAAGAAAATATTCACAAATGTATACTAATATTAGAAGATGGTATTGTACAATAATACTTCAGATCCCCAACAAACATTTCATTTTTATCTATAAGACATATATTTCTGTCAAGATAAATTTGCTATGTACGAGGGTATTGAGTAAATATGATCTCAATGATAACAGCACAAAACAACAGCAACAAAAAAGGCAAGAAAAAATAAGAAGAATACAAAATGATAAGAAAATAAAACAAAACTAGTAAAAAAATAAAACACTAGTAAATTACTATTAAACTAAAACTAAAAGAAAATAACATAACAGCAATAAAGTATGAGATAACATGGCAAGCACTGAGTGAAGTGAGTCACTTGGCCAGCGTCAGTCTTCATGCGAGTCATGGATTTGTGGCAATAGATAGAGCTTGAGTAAGTGGGTTTGAATTTAGAGATAGTATATCATTAAAATTATTCAAGTGGTCTGTGGCAGTTCCTGCTATAAAAGGAATATCAAGGTCAGTGTGTAACATAAGATTAGAAACATAAAAGGGGGCGTCTTTTCTATTGAGTGGAACGATTGGCTTATTTTTATATTTGATGTCTTTGCTGTTCTCCATAGCTCGATACCATATGTACAAAATGGTTTTTTTATTTTTTTTTTATTTTTATTTTTTTTTTTTAGAAAAATCATCTTTGTTCTGTGAATCTAGGTCCCTTTAGAATAACGGTATTGTTCATATAAATTAAACATAAATCTGGCCAAATGATCTATTACTAATGACTACCTATGAATAATAACAAAATACTAGTAATAAATTAAGTATAATAGCTCTAAGGATAAATTAACGAGAACGGTTGGGTGATAGGGGTTCAATACTACAATATTGGAGGTAAAACAATAGCATAATAACCACTAAATGAAATTAGAAAGGTACGCAAAATCAATTTATAGGCAAAGCATTTTAGTGATGGTATATAAAAATTTAAAAAAATAAAATAATAACTGTTAATATATAAAGAAATAAACTTAATGAGGACTTTGTAAATATTTCATTTATTATTCACCGAGCCTAGAAAGAAGCCTGTATTACTGATTAAATTCATTTCTTTTTTGTTATATGTGGTATGCCTAAGTCAGTAGTTTCAATAAAAATTAGCAATTAATAACTGATTGCGAATGGAAGTATGATGTTAAAAATATTTCACAACCAATGAATACGCATCGAGGAGCCAGCCATGAAACGTACTAAGAATTCGGACATTTGGCCTATATTACAAATTACCGCTTTCAATTGTATGCAAATGTGTAACAACCTCAATCAGTAACAGCGACAACCTTGACAATCAACTTCCGTCACCGCCAAAGAAGTTAACGCAGTTAAGAAAAATTGGAGAAAATTGTATATTTCCTTTAGCGGCAGATGTAAAAGCATGTTAGCCAGCCATGTCAAAACAGCTTTATAAGGGGATTTTTCACCTTTGAAATAAATAAATAAATGAACATCTGGTTTCGATTCACATACTCCTTTCTCTAAAACAAGAATTCCAAACATGAAAAACAATAGACGAGTATGTAAATTATTCATAAATCCTAAATTTCTCATCTCCAATATTAAAATTATTTGTCACTTACACAAGAAAATGAGTTATATATAGTTATGTATGCTTCGAAATGTTGTTTAAGAATATCTTAGTATTTCAAAACAAAACATTGAGTCTTTTAATGAATAGTTAACAATTAACTAGACAATGCTTATCTAAAGCAAACACTATCAGGATTGAAAGACATGACATTAAACAAAATCAAGCCAAAAATAGTACATCTCACTTCACACATTAAAAAAAACTAACCAAATAAAGAAAGAACGTCACTTTAACAGTTTCAAACATAGTGAAGCAAAAGGGTACTTATATCGTCAATAAGGAGTCCTTGCTAAATCTAGGGTGTATAAAGCTGATCACCAACTGACAAGAAAAAAAAATTGATAGCTATGAAAAATTTGCAATATACTTAATTACTAGGTAATACTCAAGTCATAATATGAAAATGTTTTATTTAACTGAAAATTTACAAGATTATCATTCAACAAAAGAAAATCAAACGCATGTTCTGGCAATGAACACGAAGAATTAACTATAAAGTCATTAACTATAAAACATATTTTGGAAGAGTGTCATTTTTACACTGCAAGATTAAAAGGTCTCAGAATACCCCAGAATATATCTGCTTCCATGAGAAATCAAGACGAAATCGTTGCCAAAGTTATGAAGTTCCTGGATAGTGAAAGACTTAAAAAACATACATGACAAGCTTATAATTAACGATCCTTAGCAGATTTATTCTTTTTATTTTTATTTTTTCATTTGTTTCATTTCTTCATTTCATTTCAAGTTCATTTGTTTATTAATTTCAATTCATTTATTGACTTCACTGCTATTTTTTAAAAGTTAATTTATCTATTATATTTTATTATCTATAAGTGTCTATTATTATCCTTATTTATTTATTTTATTCTAACAATCCATTTCTTTATTTTCTTTTTATTCTTTTTTTTTTTTTTTATTTTTGTACCATCCAAATAGTATTAAGTGGTGTTATTTAGTTGATCGGGCTCTTATGACCTGGATGTTTTGCCCCTAAACATCGAAATAAACTAACAAACGAAGAATTAAAACCTAAATTATTTATCAGAGAATGGTTTTTAATTACTATTGATTTCGTAGAGAACAATCATTTAATTTACATTACAATACATACCCATAAATATATTCTTTTTTTTATATATACTATGTTAATTCTTGAAATCCATTTGCATCTTGGAGTCGTTCCAGCAAATTTTGCATGGTCTCTCACAACATACTGCAACAAGTCTGGAAAGTCACCTCGCTCTTCCGATTTAAAGGATTTTGAGACCGATCCACCAAGAACAATCCAATTCCACAAACAAAACGTTTGAGACAGAAGCAATAACCATTAATGTGTTGGGAGATGTTCTATAAAACTTCAAAATATGACTTGAGGAATGCATGAATTTCAATGGAGGACCAGTGTTGCCCAAAATCGGTCTTGCAAAGTGAAAGACCAAGATCAAGACTGGTAAAAAAAATCGATTTTTTAAATAAAAATTAAGGCAAAATAGTTACGAATACTTGACAATCTTAGTTACTATATGTTAATAATTGGTGTAATGAATATATTTTTGCATTTAACTCCTCCATTTTGGCTTAGTTAGGTTTCTTCTAACCATGACCAAGATTGAGTTTGCGAGACCAAAACTAGTCTCGGTCTCACATTTGGGCAACACTATGGAGGACTATGTAAAATAGCTTTATTCTTTTTTTCTTTTCCCGTATTGTAGGCCAAATGGTTATATATGTACTTTAACTGTATGCTTCAAGTTCACAACCCGACCTTATATAAGAAAATAAAACAAAAATATTTAAATGTACCTCTTTAGAGAATCAAGAAGGCTCAATGAAGTGGCAAGATGATACCGAAGCTTAGTTCCTGAAAAAATAAAAATATATATATCAGAATAAAAAAATATAACAATACATTTAGGTATATAATATATTAACACAAGAAAATATATATAATGGCATACAAATCCTACTTAATATTACAGATCCATCACAAAACTGCTGAAATATATAGTTTGGAATATCCACGACGATATATGAAAGGGGTTAATAATTAACGTTAATAGCATGAGATCAACTGGACATCTAATAAATGAGAATTTTAACAACAATCGCATCTGAAGATAATGAAAAGAATGAGTTTTCAAATGATTATATAAAGAGATCAACAATAAATTAATTAATTATGACAATAATCATAATATACTTCATCTTTATTACATATTACTTACGACCATAAGACAAATCTACTTATAATTATTATAAATCCTAAAATAGCTCAATATGTTTTTTCTCTTCCCTGTGAAATGATCATCATTCCTTTGAGTCGTTCTTGTAAGTATTGTATGAACCATTGCACCATCCTTGAACGATACTGATCTTACTTGGCCACATACCTCTCCAGTATATATTGCAAGTATATTCTACCAGTAATACGACAAATAAGATGGAAGACAGGAGCTTTGGATCAATAGTGAAAAGCATGACGTACTGAAGTTCCCTGAACGCACTCCCACTTCCCTTTTACGTTGGACAAAGTGTTTAAAAGCCTCGGAGCGCTGAAAGCCTCTGCCGGTGTAAGACAAATAAACACCTTAACTGCTTTTGTTATGGTTAATGCCATGTCAAGTATGACGTCAGAGAAATATTTGTTTAGAGAAAATATTTTAAAAAAACAAACAGCATATGACAAACAATTATATGAGCTCTCATAAAATAATACCCATGAGACCATCGCTAAGTATTGTATACCTCTTAAATCTGTTCAAGTCAAGAAACTTATCAAATATTAGTGTGTTAAAGATGGCATACTCGATTTTAACACGGCCTGTGGTCTGTTAAACCTGACCTGTACCACTACAACCCATGAAGGGTCTTGAGTTCAGTACTAATTAGGGAAAGCACTGTTTCTAGGTCAACGGTTGTACAAGGAGGTGATTTGACCGAGTTCACACTCAATCGCCAAGTTTTCCCCCTTAATCTATTATTTAATTAAGGGTACCCACTTTTTAGAGGCTGCGTGTGGCCCAGGAGGGTCTCCCGACCCAAGATCGCCCCTCGGCCAATGAAACAGATAAATAAATTTTCTGCCATGATCCGGGATTCAAACCTGGGACCTTTAGCATTGGAAGCCACCCACTGATCTACCCCATTACCGTGTGGTCGGTTAAAGCTGGTGTTAATTTCGTAAATGTGCAGGGAAGGCTATATTTAATAAGATTTTTGTCTTATATTTACTCATTTTGTATTAAGAGACAAGAAATGTTAGAAAATGTTAAAAACGAATCAGGAAAGCGTCGGACAAAAGAGGGCAATAATCTTTAAAATTATGTAAAATTTAAAATGGAAACATATTTTATATCGTTTCTTGAAGATATGCGAAAACAATTGTATCTTTCTTTTTTTGTTAATTTCTTTTATTATTCGTGTTTTTATTTACTAACATATTCAATGTTGAATCTCCCACATCTTCAGGAATATTCTATTTCTTATTGTTCCAAAATATATATGCATCATACATAATTTTTTTTATATTGTCATATTCTTATAACTTTGTGTTTCTGTTCTATTTAGGAACATTCAAATCTAGCATTGTTAGCCTGTAAGAAATAGCATCAATACGAAACAGAATATTCCTGAAGATGGGACAGAACCCCAAAACATTGAATATGTAAGCAAAAAAACATGAGTAATAAAATAAATTACCCAAGGAGGAAGATATAAGTTTTTTCGCATAGCTTCAAGAAGCTAGGATAATAATCGTATGAACATACTTTACATACCGACGGAAAACATGATGAGATCCAAAATATGGGTTGATAATGATTTTTTTTTCGAATTTCCTTTTAAATTTATGGTTGTCATGCTTCAAAGTGTTAAAATAAAAAATAAAATAAATAAATCCTTAAAAATTTTTTTTTTTTTTTTTTTTGGACTAACATATATCTATCCGCACCTGTCAATTATGATTGACAATCAGCAGATGTGCTGGCTTAGTAATGAGAGAAAAAAAAAATAAATAAAAAAAATAATAATAAATAAATAAAAAGGCTTGATAGGCATGAGGAATAGCAATACCCAGCGGTATCCCTTCCATGGCTTTTACTTATTATAACATTATTTCAGCAGATCCCTCATCCAGACCCTTTTCAGTCGTCTTCTGGAGTTCTCGGGCATACTAGTTGTGGCCATTTCTTTTACCAGCTGGTTGGAGTGTCCGTTTAACATGTTATGAAATCGTTTGTAGTACGTTCGTATGTGTTCGTTAACTGTCGGAACGTGTAAGTCAGTGTGTAAAGTGTGGTTGTTTACGTACCATGGTGCTTGAGTGATTAGTCGTAGTATCTTAGACTGAAAAGTTTGAAGTTTTTTTATGTGAGTTGGTTTTGCAATTCCGTATATTTGTAGTCCGTAAGTCCAAAGAGGTTTTAAAAGATATGTGTAAATACTTAGTTTCTGTCTTGCTTTTAATTTGGAATGTCGTCTTAACAGTGAATGTAACAATTTTAGTCTTAGATTTAATGTGATTCGTTTTTTCTTCACATGTGGACCCCATGTCATTCTCCTATCGAACGTAAGGCCTAAGTATTGTACTCTGTCTGTTTGTGGAATCGGTACATTGTCTATGTATACAGGAGGGCATGTTTCTGGTCTTAGAGTAAATGTGATGTGCTGTGACTTTTGATAATTTATTTGAGTTTTCCAAAGTTTACACCAATCGAGTATAATCTGTAAGTGATGTTGTAAGTTAAGGGATGCTTCTGTAGGATTGTCGTGCCTGGTAATGATAGCAGTGTCGTCTGCGTAGGTTGCTGTAAGAGTGTGGATACTTTGAGGAATGTCGTGTGTGTATGTGATGTACAGTAGTGGGGCAAGGATTGATCCCTGAGGTACGCCAGCTAAAACTGATCGAATTGAGGATAGACCTTGACCATGTCGAACGGAGAAAAATCTATCTGAGAGAAAGGAATGGAGAATTAAGTAGTAAGTATGTGGAAGTATGGTCTTAAGCTTGAAGAGAAGCCCCTGATGCCATACTTTGTCAAACGCTTGGGCGACATCCAGAAATACTCCGGTTGCATATAGTTTTCGCTCTAGTGCTGTCGATATGTAGTCAGTTACCCTGTGTAATTGTTGTGTTGTTGAATGTAATTTTCTAAACCCGAATTGATGGTCAGGAATAATCTGTCTGTCTGTTAGTATATGTAATAGTCGTGGGTACAACAGTTTTTCGAATAACTTAGAACATACTGGAAGTAAACTAATCGGTCGATATGAAGAAGGATTGTTAGTGTCTTTGTCTGGCTTTTTAATCATGGTTATGTGTGAGTATTTCCATTGTATAGGAAATTTGGTGGTCCTGAGAATGCAATTGAAGATTGTGGTAAGAAACACTAGAGCTTTCCTTGGCATTTGCTGGAGCGCCTCAGCAGTTATCAAGTCATGACCAGGGGTTTTTCTTTTGGGCAATTGTCTAATTTCTTGTGCAACTTGTGATGGTGTGAAAGGAGGTGGTGGTAGTGTGAGCTGTAACGGTATGTCTAAGTTATTATGTACAAAAATATCGTGTTCTGTATTAATTAAGTCTGTATGTGGTTTGAAAACAGTGGAAAGGTGGTTAGCAAAGAGTTCAGATCTTTCCTCGTCCGAAACAGCCCAAGAACCATCCTCTCTTCGTAGGGGTGCTGACACCTCACGATGCTTTAAAAGATTCCTTGTATGTCTCCATAAACTTCCATCGTCCGTCGAAAGGTTGTTAATAAAATTGTCGTAGTTTGTGCTTTTGAATTTTTGAATATGTCTTTTGAGTTCGTTGTTCAATCTGTTAAAAGTTTGTCTGTCTGAAGGAAGTCTATTAGTCTGCCATACTTTACGTGCTTTTCTCTTTGCTCTGATCAAGTCCCTTATGTACATAGGATAATGGGGCAAGTTCGCTGCTTTTTGTGGCCTGGATGTTGATGAGGCCCATGCTGCATCTTGTATGCTTTTTGTGAATTTTTCAACAGCTTCTTCTAATTCCTCATGATTTTTAATTGAACCTGGAACAGAAAGATTGGTGTTCAAATGGTCTCTATATGCGTCCCAGTCCATGCAGCCTTTTATGAGCCTAGGTCTTTTTTCTGCTTCGGAAGGCGCGTCGAAGAGAACCATGTGCACTGAGGAGTGATCAGAACAAAGATCAGAGCTTGTATTGACGGCAAATGGTACGGTTCTTAGTCCTTTTGTTATAAAGAAATCAAGTAAGTCAGGAGTTTTGCGTCTGGAGGTGGGCCAATAAGTTGGTGAATTTGGAGTTACAGTGTCTAATGAAAGTTCATGGAGAACAGACCAGAGATTTCTGCCTCTTGGAGTAGACAACCTTGAACCCCAGCCTTGATGCTTAGCATTATAGTCTCCACCTGCGATGAAGCATCTTCCGAGGCGTTTGAAGAACTCAGAAAACATCGTGGGTGTAAGCTTGTACCTAGGGGGACAGTAAACTGAGGCAAATGTTATAGTGTAGTGTTTAGTTAAAAATTAAAATCAAAATGTGAAGCCTAACGCGGAAGTATAGTTTTTAATTTACTATGGCTATAACACTGAAGCATGATAGCACAAGATTCATGCTAACCGCTTAGCACCATAACACAATTAGCATTTATCACAAGTTGCGAGAGTACCCTTAATGTTCAATTAAGCTGTTTATATTGTAATGAGATATAAGAAGATAGAGCCAGTTGAAGAATAGAATTTTTCAACCCATACTTATGAACCTGGATAAAAACCTGATGAATTACGAAGTTAAATGACCATTTTAAGAAGAATCTGAAATAGTCTGTTAAAGTTTTGACAAAATAATTTATTAATTCATCTCGACAAATAAACCTA